GCCGGTCTCGGGCTTAACAGTCCCGGGCTCACGCGCTATTTGTGTTGAACCGGCCCGTTAGGCCCGTTTGGACCGCAGTCCTGGGCCGGTCCCGGGCCCAGACCGGCCCACAGTACAGCCTTAGCGAGGATGGCCTTTCTTCATTATAATGGTTGGGATGCAAGATATAGGAATATATTACTTCACTTCCCCATTGTCCTTGGTGATTATGGGCGTATTTGGTTTAGGGAGGATCTCATAGGCAGTATTCCTTTATCTGATATTTGCCGATGCTGTGTTACCTTATTCACAGGCATTCCACTCTTATCATTTTGTAACTCAAAAAAGGACTTACTTTCACAGAATCTCAATGATGTGAGGATCGAGTTGCCCCTTTTCAATTTGATTGGTAATCTTATGCAGTCTACATCTCGTACCCTTTGGATGCCTTATTAAGTTCATGATTCCAACTGGTTTTGTCTGTTATCTTTTTCTGGAAAGTGAGGGTTCCTTTTGAAAAAAAAAGATTTACCGTAATTTTAGTTCATCATAGACTTCACGCCTGTCACTTGCTTCTATATAAGATTGGTATATATGTGCATACAAAGCAGGAGTCCCATCCATATTTGATGTGGATTGCCCTTCTGCTAGTGCATTGGAGTGGCTATTTGTAATGATGAGAGAAGTTTGTGTCGTAGTTTGAGTGAGTTCTTTCTATCTTTGTGGGTCTGATAAAACTATAGAAGGTAATGTTTGTGCATATGTTTTATGGTTGTAACTTTGTGTTGTATTTGGTTTGAATGGGTTGATAGAGTTCTAGGACAAAGATATGGTGCCAACTTTTGCATGCTTAGAATATGGAGTCAACTATAGGAAACGGAACTCTACTGACTACTTGGGGCCTTATGTTTTTCGTTGGATTGTGTATGCACTTCAAATAAAATGGTGAAGGCTTGCTTTTTCGTATAACATTAAATGATCTCAAGAGGAATTGTTGTAACTCCTCGTTTAGTCTTTTGTTCTTTATATTCTTATTAACATCGTGCCCCAGTGTTATCAAAAATGAAAATCTGGAAAAAAGTGATAAGGTCTGGGGATTAAAGTGCAAAGCGTAAGTTAAATGCAAGCTTTAATGAATAAAGGCGCAAATAATAACTATAACAACAACCGTAGTTATGCAGACAAAAGAATTGACAGAACTACAGTTTAAAAGAATATTTAGTGTTTAGTGCTGCTCTCTTTAAGAGGGAGCTCATAGGCCATGAAACACATATTTTACCTATAATGAGCTAGCTCTGGAAATAAGGTAAGTTCTTCTGAAATGTGATACATCCTTGAAACTTGAAGTATATCTTGGTTTATTTGACAAGCATTTAAACATTACCTTTTTCTAATAAGTAAGAAAAACATTTTAAAGCTTTTAAAAGTTCAATTTGACAAGCTACTAGATTTAATGTGTATTTGGGATGATTAATCCCGTCTGTCTTTTCTATATGAATGCAGGCAAAGGAAGTCCGAAGGTTGGCCGACAATATGGTTCAGCTTGGAAAGGAGGTAGAAATATGGATGGAAAATTGAAATTTTGAAGCTGTTTTTTCTTATAAATGAAATTTCTTAGGTTTTGTGGTGTGTGAAAATGTTAATCTATCATTTTAGTCTCATTCCCTTGAAATGCATACCACGACTTTATATTAAAAAGTAAAATATAATGTTGTGTACATGGTTTATTTGCAGTCAGTAATGTTCTATACATGGTTTATTTGCTGAATTCTTAATCTAAAATTGCATCACAGCTATCCACTCTTACATAATTTCCATAAAGATTTCATTTGTTCTATCAAATTAATAGTCAAGCATCACTGCTAGTTTTATAGCTTGTTTGGCCAAGCTGGAAAAATCAGCTTATTTTGAGAAGTGCTTTTTTTCGAAAGTTCTTTTTTCAAAAGTACTTTTGGTGAAAAGCAGTCTGTGTTTGGCTAATTAATTTGAAAAGCAGTTCTATGCAGCAATTAGTGTTTGGCCAAGCTTTTAAAAAGTGCTTCTAAGTGTATTTTTCTCAAAAGTACTCAAAAAAGTGTTTCTGGGGAGAAGCTACTTTTTTCTAAAACTGCTTCTGCTTCTACTCAAAAGCACATATTTTTCTTCTAAAAGCTTGACCAAACACTTCAACTTTGAAAAAAAGCACTTTTTGAGTCTGTTCTGTGCAGAGATAGTGACCCTTCTTTTCCGTCAGAAACTGGGTAGTCCTAGTCACTCCTAGGAAGTTAGAGTAGAGCCGGTTTACTGTATTATTTAAGCCTAGGTTATGGAAAAAAGAGTAGTAAGTTGGTTTGATTTCTTTTCGTTAATGAAGAGGTTCTTGGTGAGGTAGCAAGGTAGCCATCTCTATTCCTGCAAGGTGTGTGCGACGATATGTGGTAGGTGATCAAAGCTTGTTTATAGTGTCAAGGGATGATGCAGAAAGATAGCTTACATTTTCAGACCCTTGCTTGGTCCGCCAATTCCATGAATGGGCAGCGTCAATAAATTTGATCGCAGATTGGTGGCGAGGTCTTGAAGAAGCTGACCTGACCGAAGGTGTCTAATTAAGGTGATGCCTTGTTGTTTTTCAGATTTCCCTCCAAGGTAGAAGCTGAAGGAGTTTTAAAGGAATAAAGTTGGTGGTTGAGAGTGTCTTCTTTTGCTGCTTGACTGATGTTCCTTTAGCACACAGTGGGCAGGATTGAAAAAAGGAGAATAGGGTATCTTTAATTAGCTTAATGGGAATTCCCTTCGATCGTTGGTGCATGGGACTATTCAAACAGGTTGGATATGTGTGTGTATGTGTTTTTGTGTGTGTGTGTATCTGCAGAGGCTTTTTGGATGTGGACGTACTCCTACTGATCTGTTGAAAAGTCTCAGTCAAAGATGGTGGCAGTGTTTCGAGTCATGTAGGATCAGTGATGCAGAGTTCTGCTTTAAGGTTGGGATTTCCATAGAAGAAAGTTTTGTTTTCTACCCAAATGCTTCAGTGTTTCTCCAGAAGATTCAGTTTGAATCAGGACACATGACAACTTAAGTTATGGGGGATTGCTCAAATGGTGTTATGATGTTGTCTTAACCAATTAATATAAGATGCAGATTACCAGTGATTTCACAGGAAGCTTTTATGTGAAGAGGTGGTGTTCATTCTCATGAAAAAGTGGGGGATAGTGTCTATTTTGGCTTTTCTTGCATACAGTCTCGGATCTGATTCCTCGTCTCTTTCGCGTTATTGAGGAACGATAATGAGATTTTTGTCCATGTAGAGAAAATGGAAGGACAGAAGAATTAATGAGGAAGATAGAGAACTTATCCCAAAATATGAGGAAGATAAGGTAAAATTGGACAATACTAGGGAGTTCGGATCCAAAATGCCACTCTGAAATGGGTTCAAGCTGAAAAGTGGTCAATCAAAGGAGATGGTGTTGCTAATAAGAGCAATTTGTGTACAGAAAGAGCATAGTGTGTTCACCTTGATTAAAAATGAGATGGCAGGAAAGTTTCTTTATTTGGGTTTGATTTAAGAGTGTGTTATCACAGGATTGACATTTAAAGAAATGGGTGAAGCATTGTAGCCTCTTTTTGAAATTTTGATTAGTTTCTCGATTGTAGAGGTAGTGTTGGCTGTTAATGATTGGAGCTTAAGCTGGTTGACCTTGGTCTTGTTGGTTTCTTTTGCGAATTGGGTTAGAAAATAAGGTGAAAATACTCCCGAGGCTAATATCACTTTTTCGCATATTTCTTGTTTCAAATCTCACTTCAATGAATACTAAAAATGGAATGTGACCTTTGTGCGTTTCTCATCTGGAAAACCCAAAAATGAGATTTGAGGTGGCATCTAAAGTTATCTCTGCAATTTGAGTTTTTCTGTTTTCTCTCCTTTGTTTTCTGAGTGATGGTCCTGTTTTCAGGTTTTATCTTTAACTCTGTTTGTACCTGGGCACACTTTTTGAACTATTGCAGGGAAGTCTATCTGCTGCAAGACAGGCAGCTGCCTTTGTGCGTGGGGATGATGTCATTCATAAGCTATTTACTGAATTGGCTTACCGATACAAGTGAACTTCAAACCATTAAATTTCTCTATTTTTTAAAATAGAAATATGGTTCTAAATATCTTGAAACTTATATATTACAGAGATAGAGCTGGTGGATACACGAGAATGCTCCGAACTCGAATTCGAGTAGGTGATGCTGCACCAATGGCCTATANTAAAAGTAGAATACTGGTTCAGATTTGTGAAGGGACGACTATATCCGTACACTGTCGTTGACTATTTTTCTGTTATCTCGGCAGGTTTATTGATAGAGAAAATGAACTTAGACAATCCAAACCACCAAATCCTCAACCTCCACAGAGACCAGCCATGGATCCCTGGACAAGATCTCGGCTCAGCCGGCAGTTTGCACCACCTAAGGAGGAGAAAAGCTCTGACTCTGATATTTAATATGAGTTCTTTTTTGGAAGTGCATTCAAGATTGCATTTGTCTTCTCATTTCATAATGATACAAATGTTTGGAGCCTACATGTAGCAATGTAATGATAATAATGTTTCATTCAACAGCTTCTGTATTTTCCAGCCTGCCTTGTACTCTAGGTTATCAATACACCTGAATCAAGCTAATGGCACTTGGTTAGTGCTGGATTGTACACCCCCCACCCCCTGCGCGGTCGAGTCTTTTTCTCTCCGCACCATCCCCTTTTTGTCTGTACCAGGCTCCTGATAACCTTCACCTGGTTAATTGAAGAGATCAAAATTTTTATTGGGAAATATGTGCAGGAAGTGCTCATGGGATGATTGAGGTCTTGGAAGCAGCTTGTCACTTTTGTGACTTCACCTTTTTCACTCTTTTCTCCAGCGTAATCAGTATTTCAGAATAGGCTTCTATAAATATAACTGCTGCTTTGCCATTTTTCAAAAAATTTAAGCTAGTTGAGGTGAAATAAGAAAAGAACAGCATTGGCGGTCAACCAGAAGCAAATCGAATTTTTGGATACGAATATTTTGAAATTCGATTGATGGAAATTGCATGAGTTATGAAATTTATCCAAAGTAATGAATTTAAATTTGCAAGAAAATACTTCCGCAGAAAAATTCCTAAGACATTAAGCAAGCAAACCTCCAAAAGAATTCTCGGGTAAATTTCCATTTAACCGAAAGTTTTGTTCTAAAAATTCGTCTGTAGAATATCTACAAGAAGTTCCTTATGTAATTTAACGTTGCAAGTAAATCTCCATAAAAAATTGATGCGATTTGAGGCATTTCCCCCAAAGAAAATTCTAGTTGGCTCTATAAGACTAGAAGAGCCATAATACTACATTGTAGTACTATATATTATCTGAACTTTACGTATGACTTAATTGATTTCTTCAAGATAACATATTCCATTCAATCCGAAGAGGCAACAGATTCTTATGAAGTCACGTCATAAGACAACTTATAAAGCTACCTGGCAAATTGAATGAACTTCATGCACAAGTACTATAAGGCCTCTTTTCTTTTCTTTCTTTTCTTTTTTTCTTTTAGATTAAGACGTCTGAATCTGAATATATGTCTGAATATCAAGATGTGTATTAAGATTAAAATATTTGAATCTGAATACACATCTGAATATTAATATGTGTATTAGGATCTGAATACGAAATGATTAAGACTGTTTTTTTACCATATGAATATATAAATTATTCTTTATTTTTGAAAATTAATAAACGTAAAATTCAAATAAAATACTAATTGATCTAATATTTATGGTAGTTGGTGGCGATGGGTGGCTAACAAAGGTGCTTGTTAGTGCCGACCAAAGACGGTGGTTGGCGGTGGTTTTGATTGATGGTGGTGGTTTTGGGTAATAGCTAGTGGTGATTGGCAGCTATGACGATTATGGTTAAGGATGATGGTGGTGGGTGGTGATAGTTAATAATGATGGATGGTGGTGGTTGTGATTGTGATTGAGGAAGGTGATAATGGGTGGTGGTAGTTAGTTTATAATAGCGGGCGGTGCCGGCTATGGTTGTTGATGGTGATGGGGTGGTAGTAGTTGGTTGTAGTAGTTGAGGTGGGTGAGTGTGTAGTTATGGTTGAGGATGATAGTGGTGGGTGGTGGTAGTGGTAGCGGTTATGGTTGAGGAAGGTGGTGGTGGTAGTTGATTATGGTAGGCGGTGGCAGCAGTTAGTAATGAATGTAGATGATAATATCTTAATGAAATTAAGTCTTTGTTATAAATCTTACATACAGGCCTATTCAGACTTATTAAGTGATTGTGAAGTAAAAAAACAAACACACTTAATGAATAATATCTGAATGGTTAAGATTCAGACTTTAAAAATAAACACACTTAATGGCTGAGATCTGAATGATTAAGATTCAGACTTTAAAAATAAACACACTTAATAGCTGAGATCTGAATGGTTAAGATTCATACATCCGTGTATACAAATGAGGCCTAAGATTTATTACTTTTAGAACATCTTAATTAAAATTTTATAGCCGCTAATTGAAGATAAACGTAAATAAATCTTAAACGACGAGTTCCTGAACGATCACGTTAACTAGTTAATTGAACTTTGGAGAGTTGAAATTGCAAAACTTGACCATTTGATTGTTCTTAGTGCATTAGATTTCTTTTTAATTACCATTTAATTATCTGATTAATACTTTCCACCCTAATTATTAGGTTAACTAAAGCTCATCTTTCTGAAGAGTTTTGGCCTGTTGGACTACAGATAGGGCTGTATTGTGGTCCGGGCCCGGGTCAAACGGGCCTAAACGGGCCGGACCAAACGGGACTGGGCTTGAGGCGGGCCGGGNAGTATCTTTCTTAGTCTTCCTCCCCCCCAATGGAATGAGCACAACAAGGTACTAATACCACCATTAAAAGGAAAAAAAACTAAGGAAGATGTGCCAAAATACAAGTTACATGTTAGTCTATGTATTATCTCTAACAAATCTCATAAATCCTTCAAGGTCCGGAGGAATTTCCGTTGGTGGTGGTGGAAAAGAAGCTTGTTCATCACCGCTTCCGGGCGAAGCAGCATCCTGCGCAAGTTCCGCTAGCATTTCTTCATAAGCTTCATCTATCTCGGATTGTGATTCTGCAAGTCCAAAATTTCTTCTTTCCGAACGGATCCAATCTCTGAAGAGTACTGATTTTTCCGAGCTCTCCCTCGTAGACGCTCTATGATCACCGATTTGAAGTCTCGCTTGACTGAATGCGCTCTCCGATGCCATTGTTGAAACTTGAACACTTAAAATATCTCGAGCCATCCTTGAAAGAACCGGATAGTGTTTCTGTTTGTCATTCCACCATTCCAAAACATCGAAGGAGCCGTCGGGATTCTCTGATTCAAGACCCTGCGACAAATAAACTTGAAGTTCATTTAGTTGTGAACTATCACCAAAATTATCACCTTGAGAACCCCTGAATTCCGTCCAAGAACNCTGAATACCAAAAGTGAGGAGCTCCTAATTTCATTGTAGGATTTAACAATGCAGCAACACCAAAAATAGGGGGGATAGGGAAAAAATATTTTTAAACTTAACTTTCATAGAATTAATAGCAAATTGATAAATTACCCCACCCTCTGAAAATTGAGTAAGCAAATCTGCAAGTGCTGCAATATAAACTAAACATTTAGAAATAGTAGGATAATATTGCCCAGATAATTCATTTGTAACAACATGAAATTGTTCTAAAAAGTCTA